GTCCCAGACAATGTCCCATGCCCGTGATGGTTTCCTATGTCACATGGTTTATCAAACAACCTCATTGGCTAACAGGCCACTCTTATTATAATTTTTAATTGTCCGGGACGTTAACATTTTGGCGGACTGTCCGTTGTCCGTGCCCCATGACAACACTGCCCATAGGCATGCCTATGCCCACAACCCTAGCACTAGCGCATATAGATAAATTTCTGTATAAAACATGTAATATACAGTAAATAAGATAGACATAAATTTTTTAAAAATTGTTAGCAAATATTGTATTTATGTAATATGAATTTAAGAACAAACGCTAATTAAAATGAATAAAAACACAAGAGACACGAAAGCGCGAATTAACTTTAAAAATATGCAACTGTGTACAAAACTTGAATGAATGTCTAATATGAAATTAGCAAACAAGGAATACGTGAATACATATTGACTTAATAAATTACAAAAAATAGCCAAGTAGGTAATATCATCGAAATAATTTACATTATTTAAGAATAGCTATTAAGGTCATAATTAAGTAAATCTCATGTGTCCATAGATGAAATAACTCTATTTGAGTGCTTGTTGACTAGAAGCTTTTCTTATGAATGATGTCTGGATCTTCTTGATACTCCTCTGCAGAGACCCACATCTATGATTAAATAAAACAATGAGTCGTTAAAAAAGAAATAAATTTCATATATAAATAATAATAGAAAATGTTTAAACCTTTTTAAATGCGCTCAAGGCAGCCAATATAGAACCACCAAACCATGTACTATATTTTCTTTCTGGAGGAGCAAATATTTTGATTTTGATATCTTTAACAGCCAATTTTCTCACTTCATTCAACAACCTTGTACCAAAATCTATTATCCATGAATAAATTATAAGTTTCATGATAAAAAAAATTTAGCAGGTGTATGCGTAATAACAGTTGAAGCAACCTTTATAAAGCGTTGAACCACCCGATAAGACAACGTTGGCAAACAGCGATTTCCTTAAATCTAGGTCAGCACGATTGATTGAATCAACAACAACTTGGTGAATCCCAGCATATTCTTGTCCAATCAACTCAGGGTTGAATAAAATTTCGGGAGCTTTAAATCTTTCTGTACCCAACTATAAGAAAAGTTTAAACTTAAATAATCGCTTAGTAAATTAATAAACTAAATTAAACAAAAATGTGATGATACCTTAACAACGTTACCGTCAGGCAAAGTAAAATCCTCGAATTTTCCGCTAGTATCCTTCTCCTCTTTTGATGGATTTATTGCAATATAACATGTTTTTTCCTTAATAATACGAACGACTTCTTTTTCTGCAGTGGTATGAAAATTGTACCCCGCTTTACGAAGAAGCAGCTGCAAATGCTCTGTGACATCTCTAAGAACAATTAAAACAACATCATGATTAATAAATATTATTTAAAAAATTATAAAGAGCGAGACATGGTACATCTGTTAAAAAACATACCTGCCAGCAATGTCAACTCGTCGGATAGCGTGTGGAAGAGCAAATCCTTCATAAACAGGAACCGCGTGAGTCACACCATCACCAGAGTCAAGAACAATGCCAGTAGTTCTGCCGGAAGAATAACTAGTTGAAAGGAAGTTGATTTTAAGCATACTAATTAACATTAAATATAAAATATTCCCAAATGAATCCTGACTCACAGGCTCAGCACTGCTTGAATCGACGTAAACAAGGCTGGAACATTGAATGTTTCAAAAAACATTTGGGCAGCTAATTCTCTATTACTTCTTGGATTGAGTGGTGCTTCGGTCAAAAGTACTGGATGCTGAAATATAAATGTGCAGCATGATAAAAAAAGTCAAATTCCTAATTTTGAAACATAAAAACTTCTGTACATGGTAGACATACTTCTTCTGACGCAATTTTTAATTCTTCTTCATAAATATATTTCCATATACGTTCCATATCATCCCAATCAGATACAATGCCATGTTCAATGGGATATCTTATTTTAAGAAGACCTCGCAATTCTTGTGCTTTTTTTCCAATAAAAACTTCACCGTCAACGGCGCCTGCCATGATACGAACATGTTTTGGCCTTCCAACACTACAAGTCACAAAAGGCAGAAATTTTTAGAGAAAGAAAACGATAATAATAAGGTACTAAAGAGTGTGGGTAAACATACTAAGATGGAAAAAAAAACACTTTGGAATTTCATCACCAGCAAACCCGGCCTTAATAACTCCAGAACCCTAAAAAATAAGATATAACTAAATATCGAAAAAAAGGATCATTATATTTACTAATGGCTTTACTTACATTGTCAATAACTACAGGCTGGTTGGTCAGAACGTCTTCGTACTCCATTTTAACTTCTCTGATGACTTAAGGAACGAGATACTATCAACCGTTTTAAGTCTTAAGCTTATCTTAAGCTGCGATTCGGATCCATCGTGAATTGCACATGTAGTGTAACACGTTAACCAATCATAAAATTTTTTACTGGGCAATCCTAAAATCCCTGGTCTCAAAGTTAGGGCTATACTGGTTAGCAGGAGTTAAAGTAACTACTCGTGATCTTGCAAAACTATCATTGGTTAATCGAAATAATTCGCAAGGCATTACTATAACAACTAAATATTCAATACTGTATAAAATTAATAAATACATTACTACGAAATTTACATGATTTTTTTGATATCTTTGCTTAAAGTTCTAAAAATTCTGATTTTGTAAAACATTTTAGATTTAACCGTAAATATTAGGGATGTTACGGTTTGTCCAGTCCGGTCTTGGTCCTAAAAGACCGGTCCTACGAACCGGACCATAAGTCCAAGACCTGGTTTTCAAAGTAAACTACTGTATTTGGTTTTAATGATCGCTAAATAAGTTATGGACCGAAAACTGCTTGGAATAGTCCAAAAGACCGGTCCGGACCATGCATGGTCTTTGCAGGACCGTAACATCAGGTAAATCAAATGCCTGACTGTCCTTGATTAATCGTCACGTGACTTTGCACTGTTCATAGACTTTCCCTTGTGCAGATGACGCGTAAACAATTTAGACAAAACTCGCAACCGACCCCCATATTTTGGAACGATCCTACTTGTGCGGAAAAATTTAAATGATCGGGTCATATACCATCACTGATCTAACTCTAAAAGGAGACTTAAAATTTCATAATAAAGTAGACTTTTAATATTAAGTTTGTTAACAATAAATATGTTAGGAAAATCTTTCATCAGTCTTTATTACTACTTTTTCCAATAGTAAATTCCATTCTTGAGAATACCATATTTAATAAAAATCCACATAAAATAAAGGTGGTGGCTACCAATGGTTTCCTTAGCAATTCTAGAGAATTGTATTCATAAGAAACCTGAAAATTTTTTGAATGTTCATCGACTGCGTTAAATTTATCTAAAACAACAAGATAACGCCCTTTACTGTCAAAATACGTTCTATGCACTCTATGAGTTTCTCTATTTATTGGAAATGGAGTTTCCACTTTAACATTGCTATAATAAATAAACGAAAATGTCAGAAATTCGAAGAAAAATTTTTTTTTTTTATTGACAACAAAACAATTTATTGTTACCTTGCTCCTTCGGGTAGAATGATTCTAACTTGTACATGATCAAAAGCCGCGTTATGTAACGGGTTAACGAAGGGTATATTCAAAATATATCGTCCACTCTTATGGTACCTTAAAAAATCTCCAAGAGGAACATTATATCCATAATACCATGTGTAGTTCCAACCGCCAAAAAGTGGGTATCTCGGTCTAAATTCTAAAACTGTTGTGTCTCGTTCGTTTCTCAATCGTGAAGTTGATACATTGCCAATCTCGTCTCTATAATATACATCCGACGCGTGAACTGGTAAATTTATTGAGAAATCACGAGCCATAGTAGTTTCGTGATGAATATATTGTGTTTGTTGATACTCTAATCGTGAGAACTGACCCTTCAGCCTTCATATATAAATTGCATTTGTTAGAGTTTTGGATTGTTGTGAATTTACATATCTGAGTTTGAAAATAGCTTACTTTGCTCCATCATGCGTCAAATTGAAATGCTCCTCAACTGCCAAATTTCCGCCCCAATGACTAATTTCTAAATCACGCCTTAAACCTTTAACGGTCAAAATTGGCTGTTGGAATTCATAGTGTACTGAGAGATCGTCGAACGCACCAGGTTCCTGGTTGCTGAATGTTCCATAGGTGATAATGTTGGCATTACGACTCACGGAACCAGATTTCTGCGTATATCCTATTATATTGAAGGTAGGCAATCTGCCATTTGTTTTTCAAGATTATATAGGAATCAATGTGTCATTTTGACAGGTATAGAAAATATAATCACTAACTTGACGTTGGTCTTCTGCTTTTCCGTATAATATGCACTGTTCCCGTAAATATTTCCACGATATATCAAGTTTTGCCTTCCAGTTTGAGCGATTTCGAATGGGTAAGGGGTCAACACATGAATGTAAGCTGTTTTTACGATGAATATAACCTTCTCTTGTGGATCAATGCGATGATCAAAGTAAATTTTGTAGTATTGGGTTTGGCTTCAATTATTTTGTTTAAGCATTTTATGAGAAGAATATATATAATTTTTAATTTTGAGCCTTACGCAATAAACTTTATCTATTTGAAATTACATAGTGAACATGTCCACAGTTTGCGGTAAGAAAAGATTAGATACCCACTTTACAGAATCAGATCCAATTTTTTCAATCTCAAAAAGCTTGTCAGTTTTTTTTTCCTTGACTTCAATATATGCTAAATTCTTAGCCAAACCACCTGGAATAGGAAAGTAATATTCTCCTACTGGTTCAGTGTGGACATTTTGCGAAGCGATTGCGGTAGACTCCCGAACGACATACGAAGAGAGGTCTATCGTACGAACCATGTTTGTATTACGCCAATACTGAGGAACATGAGGCGGTGCATCGGCTGTAGCCAAGGTATTGTATATAATGCAAACACCCAGTGTTATCAAGGCCAAATTATACCAAGATCGCATTTTGCGTTATAACGATAATGAGTGAAAAAAGTTCAAAAATATAGCATTCCAACCAAATGTTGCCACGAATTAAAAAGATGGTGCCGAAAATTTTGTCGATCAATGCAGAAATTAGATTTTGTACTACTCCCGGTGTTACAGTAGAGGGTAATTAATTATTGGGGGTGCGTTCAAAACAAAATCAAAATTATGTATAGATGTAAGGTAGAGTCGGATATTATGGCGCACTTAAGAGTTGCACATATAAAAAGTAAAGCGTATTTATTTACAAAATTTAGCAAATAAAATAAAATACAAAAAAAAAATCGAAAAAAAAACTTCGAAATTTAAGCTTTTAAAATTTATTAAAAAAATGCTGTTTTTTCAGGTTGGGGGTATTATGGCGCACTATGTATTTTGTATTGTATTACTACATCCTCCCTACAGATATTGTCCGAATGAATTGAACATGTGAACCATAATATCTGACCTTGTGGTTTAATTAAATAGAACTCTGCGATTTTTATATAATTTGAATCGTCTCAATGAGATGAATCAAATGGTACTAAAATTTTCGATTCTGATCAGTGTATTTCGGGATATTATTAAAAAACTTCGGTGTGCTAAATTAGTGTTGTTAACTGGAAGCAAAAATCAACAACACTGTGCTAAATTATCCACTCGCGCTATATAATACCCGACTCAAATTTTATAGTGAAATATTTCTAGCAAAATTAATCATCATGATACAATATAATAAATACATATAAAAAAATGGTTGGGTATTTTGAGATACTGTATTTGGTATATATAACAATTTGTCTTTATCTTTTTTATGTATTAATTTTTTTTTTTGATGATCATGTCACAATTCCAATGTTTTATTGATGTTAAATTTGGTCCAAAGAGAAAAAAATTTTTTATATCATAGAAATATCTACATATTATAGGAATGTAACTCACCTAGTTACTATAAGAGCACCTATATGCAACCTGCCAATGATAATTTAAGTCTTACCAGTTAAGTTTGGTCTACCTCAGAGCAAACTATTTTGGATCACTAACATGGATTACTAGCCTGTCATGATCATCTTTTTTCCCAACCTTCTTCTCCTAGTCTTCTAAGTAGAAGAATTTTACCAATAAACAATAGGGAATTTATAAAATAAAAGGAAAAAAAAAAAAAGAAAAATAATAAAATAAAAAAAAAAAAAAATAAAAAAAAAAACAAAATAAAAAAAAAAAAAGAAAAAGAAGGCCACAA